CCTCCTCCAGTTGACCATGAACTTTCAAAAGATGCATAATGATGGTGAGATGAAGGAGAGGAAGGGAAGTAATAACTATTTCTGTACAATGCTGTCAGTTCTTGCCCTTTTAGTACAAATATCATTGATAGGACCCCAGTGACTTAATCTGCAAGATAAGGAAGAGGTGCCAGTCCTGTAGGTCTGATTGTTCCTGTCCCTTTTCCATCCATGCCCATTCCTTCCAACTTCCCAACGCAGTGCTGCTTTAAGCGGGCCGTTCTGCAGCCAGCCAAATGCCAAGCCCACCAAAAGCCCCCACCTCCACACCACTTTCGACTTTGGGCCAATGAGCATTTCACCAAAAAAGGCGTCGGCGTCGGCCGGCGTGATCTGGGCTGAGCCTATCAAAGCTTCCGCGCCATTCTCCATTCTCCATTCTCCATTCTTCCTTCTCCGCTCCCGGCTACCCTTCACTAACCAAGTGCATGTGCTACTACTACTACTACTAAGTTACTGTATGTACAATCCCTCAATGTGGCTTGTCAAACAACCACCATCCCTTGCAACTACCCGATCTCATTGCTACTCTCTGCTTGCTGTTCAGAGAAGCTTAGAGGATCTTGATGCAACAGAGGATTTCGGCTGGTGGCCTGGAATTGAGCAGCCCATGCTGGAGAATCTGATAATCCTGGGTGACACCGAAAAACTTTTTTCTACCACTTGCAATCTTGATGCTGACAGACTTGCTTCACGCTGACTGGCTCATCGGCTGCATGACGACCCATTGTTGTCTTTTGCCCCCTCCAGTCCAATGGGCACCTATGGTCTCTACTGTACCTATCGATAGCGTACTAGCGTGAAAAAAAAAAAAAGTGTAGGGAAGGTTGAGAAGTACTTGAGTAGAAGCAAGATGAGGGACAATGCCATCACTCGTTGCTCCTTCAACTCTTTTGCTGTTTCCTCGACTCCCAAACCGTATATAGACTGCCAATTATTCTCTGTATCCTGCAATCTTTTCTCTCTCTCTCTTCCCTACCACCTCACGGCCCTACCCTCTCTCTTCCTTCCTCTTTTCCCACCTTTCCTCCTTCCTCTCCGCCCCTCCCCCGCAATCCCACCCACCCATCCTTCCTTCCTCTTTCATCCATCTATACCACGGCACCAGCAGTCAAGACGCCTACTGTTGCGGTAATTGTCTCATCGCCATCAGAAAGCTTCATTTTCACCGGCTTTCCCCGCTCTTCCCCCCCTCCCCCCAGGTTCTCTCGTCCTGTCATATCAGGTCAATTGGACCACCAGTTTTTCCAATTTCCTCGCCCCCTGGGCTATCAACATACCATTTACTTCTTCTTGGCCATTTTCAATCATCGCTTGAGCAGTTCTGCTGTACTCTTCGTCACTAGCAGCGACATAGGACCGGCTGACCCCATCATCCCCTCGCGCCACAAACAATACCATTGCGCCTCCCACTTGACCCTTGCGACAATCCGCTTCGTTAGCTTTTCCCATTCGCGCTCTACCGTCTTGATTCCCGGCCTAGCACCTGCATCCTGTGCGACTTGACAAGTAGAACGAATCTCCCCATTGCCCTCGGTGACTCCAGCCCATTCTCCACGGTAGACGAGCCCTCGACAGCGCTTCCTCGTTCCCACCACCGGCCATTGACCCTCGAATTTGACCCAAATTCCAAGCACCATCCTTTTCCCGAGCGACAATGCCCTTCGGAATCAACCCGTTCAAAAACCACGACCACAGCGACTTCGCTGGGGTCGTGATCCCTCTCGATCAGGCCCCAATGCGCTCGAGACCCGACACCCAGACAGCCAAACAAGTGGGCGGTACTGATGACAAGACTGATGAAAAGAGCCTTGACAGAGCTCCCTCCGAGGAAGCTGGGTTTGGATCCCTCCACAACTACGATCATATGACCATCGAAGCCCTTCGCGCTGAGATTGAGGCCGATCTGGTTGCCACGGGGCAGGACTCTGTCTATGACCGTACGTTACATATCATTATCCTTCGCGCTGAGAAGGGGCTCCATAACAATCATTCTTCTTATCCGTGTCGATGAGCAAAGGCAAAGCTAAATTTTATATGCAGGCAAAGCAAAGGTCATCAACAGAGCCATCCAGGATATTGGCATGGGCCGGTATCAGTGGGAGCTTTTTGCTATGTGCGGCTTCGGTTGGCTTGCAGACAAGTAAGTAGAAAACCGCTTCCCTCTCGCAGTGATCGTGTTGCTGACGCCGGGCCGCTAGTCTCTGGTTACAGGTAAGAGACCAAAGATGGTACCATCCAATGTCTATCATACTAACCTTTTAAGGGCATTGCTCTAACCCTAACACCGATCGCGGAGGAATTTGGAGTTTCCTCCACGCGGGTGCGATTCACCACCTGTGCTCTGTTCTTGGGTCTGTGCATTGGTGCTTCATTCTGGGGTATCGCTTCTGATATAGTTGGACGCCGTCTCGCCTTCAACACGACGCTTTTCTTGTGCAGTGTCTTTGGTGTGGCAGCTGGTGGCGGTCCGAACTGGATTGGGTATGTTATGGCTTTCATGTCTAAAGATAACCAATGATTGATGCTAACCATGCAGGACCTGTGCCCTCTATTCTTGCTTGGGTCTTGGTGTTGGTGGTAACCTACCCGTCGATGGAGCTTTATTTTTGGAATTCTTGCCTTTTGCTTCCGGAAACATGTTGACCATGCTGAGTGTCTGGTGGCCTGTCGGTCAGCTGATCTCCAGTCTGCTCGCCTGGGCTTTGATTCCCAACTTCAGCTGTGACAGCGGTCTTCCTTCGTGCGGTGACGTCGCAAGTGGGGTCGCTTGCTGCAGCAAGCAGGATAACATGGGCTGGAGATACTTCGTCTTCACCATTGGTGGCTTGACCTTCCTCATGTTTATCTGCCGTTTCTTCCTCTTCCACCTCTACGAATCGCCCAAGTTCCTGCTGGGCCGTGGTCGCCAGGCTGACGCCGTTGCTTCTGTATACGGCATTGCTCACAAGAACAAGACCAAGACGTGGCTCACCGAGGAGATCCTGAACGAGATCGGCGGTTATCAACAGGAGGCTCAGAAGGAGAAGCTCAGCTCGACCGAGATCGTGAAGAGATATCTTTCCAAGTTCTCTTTCGACCACATTGCCCCGCTCTTTGCCACAAAGAAGCTTGCTATGAGCAGTACGTATTAGCCATGTCAAGTGTATCTCGTGTTCTTGCTAACACCTCGCCTTAGCTATTCTGCTCTGGTTCTGCTGGACTACCATTGGAATGGGCTATCCCCTCTTCAATGCCTTCCTTCCCCAGTACCTGGCCAACAATGGGAGCGATGGCTCCAGCTCCACTTACATCGCCTATCGGAACTACGCCATCACGTCCGTCGTCGGCGTTCCTGGTTCCATTCTAGCCTGCTATACCGTGGAGATCAAGTACGTCGGTCGCAAGGGCACGATGTGCATCGCGACTCTGATCACCGGTGTCCTGCTCTTCTGTTTCACTGCCTCCACCGACTCGAACGTCCAGCTCGTCTGCTCCTGTCTGGAAGCCTTCTTCCAAAACATCATGTACGGTGTTCTGTACGCGTACACTCCGGAGGTCTTCCCGGCCCCCAACCGCGGCACTGCCACGGGCATCTCCTCCTGTCTCAACCGGATCGCCGGTCTCTGTGCCCCCCTGGTGGCTATCTACGGCGGTTCCGCCAGCCCTGATGCCCCCATCTACGCATCGGGTGCATTGATCCTGGCTGCGTTCCTGGCCATGTGCCTGCTGCCCATCGAGACTATGGGCCGGCAAATCATGTAGAAAATCCACCCTGAGAAGGAGAAACGGCGACACCCGTGCCTTCTTCAACGGGAACCTCATGCCCTCATGTTTATATCCCTATGTTTGTTGACGATGCAGCATTGATCTGACTCATGATTGATACCATTTTTGTACTATTTGTTTTCGTTGGTTCCTTGGGCGATGTTTTGTGATCCGTGCACAAAGGTGAGATGTGTTCGCATGCATCGTTATGATTTTTTATTTTTCACCTGTGATTATTATGTCTGCTGGATGGAGTGAAGGCTCCGCTTACACATACTTTGGACTCTGGTGTATAGAATCATGATAGAGTACAGAACCCCCCACCTAAAATAGCATTCTCACGTTACACATCAAAACCCCCACAACCGTTATATAGCAAACCTTACATGTCTTTTGAATGAAGTAAGGAGTAATATCCCAAATAAATTCATCTATCATACAACATACATGCCGATCATCAGGTCACTTCATTTACAGACCAAAACTGGGGAAATTCAAGAAAGAGAAAATTGACGGCCAAGTCGGTACTAGTAATCTACGTACCAAAACGCAGCTTCTACGCACAAAATTCGTCAGGGAACAAGGCAGAAATGTCGAAGACAGCAATGAAAAGGGAGCGAAAGGCAAGAAAGAAGAGAGGGGGGAAGAAACGCTGTAAACCATAAAGTCAACACATCATTGTTCCTGCGCAGGTATATATTCATGGACGGGTTGCATCAAGATATGAATGACATGACAAGATCCAGGGGGGGGAAAGGTTTAAATGAAGAAGGGGGGCCAGGAGATGTATATGATTCGATCATGCGGGCGCATATATCCATCCGTAGTGTAAGTCCGGTGGGCAATCCCGACGAAGAAGGTAGGAAGGAAGAAATGATATGTGTAAAATGTGGGGAAAAGAAGAAGGTACCGTAAGTCGGGTTAGAAATGGAAGGGAGAACTGAATCTTATCAACGCAAAGAGGTAGAACACGCACAAGAAGTTTTATCATAAATGAAAACATAAATAGAAAGTCGAGGAAGAGAAAAATAAAAAAGAACACCCTGAGAAATGCGACCGATTGATTATAAACCACCCAGAGGAAATCAATCCCATTCACCAAGCCAGAGGAGAAACATTGTCACCGTATGCACTGAACTCATAAAAATAGGAACTCGTAGCCCGAAGGCTGTCTCGATTCGTTAAGGACGTGACCTCGGATCGTCGAAAGAAAATCAAGCAACAGGCTGGTGGCGTCGACCGCGTTTCTCTAGGAGAGTAGCGTTATCCAGGTTCAGCTCGAAAGGCTCCCGCGCGCCTCGGGCAATGCTCTGTCTTGCAGCGGCGGCCACCTTGGCACTGTGTTGCCCGTAGCCTTGTTGCTGTCGGGGTTGATGGGCTTGTCGTGCTTGCGCGGCATGGCTGGGAGCACCACTCAAGTTTGTAGATCGCAATTTCGCCTCCATGGCAGCGACATCACCGGCCTGCTGTGAGGACTTGGGGATCTTGGAAGGGGCAAAATCTTCGCGCTGGATGGGTTGATAGTTGATCTCATCCGGCTCATCGTAGTCTTCGTTCAGAGGGTTCAGCGCCGACCGGAAGTTCGTCGAGGGGTTGGCCCCACGGTAACCTTGACGGAAGTTCTTGCGACGTTTGCCCTCCTCTTCTTGTCTGTGCACGGCATAACCAACATCGAAGACCTCGCGCAAATTGATCGCTCCAGGAGAACGGAAGTCCATGGGGCGTTCCATACCAGCCGATGGTTGGTCGCCCAGGCGGGCACTGATCGGAGCGAATGGCGCTTGATCGGCCGCAAATGCATCCAAGGGCTGTCCCTGCTTGCGGGTAGTAAGAGGCGTTGCAAGTGGAGGAGCGTCCGCAGCAGCTTCGGTAGCTTCATCGGTGCCACGGATCCAGGGATGGGCGAGAAACTGCTTGATGGTATAGCGCTTCTCCGGATCCACCGTCAGGAGATGAGAGATCAGATCCTGGGCCGACTTGGAAATATCGTCCCACCACGGCGATAGGAAGGTGTATTGACCACGAGCAACCTTTTCAGTCAGGATCTGGATGCTCTCGTCGTAGAACGGCGGGAAACCACAGAGGAGAGTGTAGAGAACGCAACCCAGGGCCCACATATCGACACTCTTGGAGTACCGCTCATCTTTGACGATCTCAGGGGCGGTGTATCCGACTGTTCCACACGGCGTCATGGTTTGGCTGTCCCAGATAACCTTCGACAACCCAAAGTCGGCGATCTTAATCAAGCCGATACCACCAGCACCTTTTCCAGGAATAAACTCGCCCTCGTCGACCTTGTCTTCGTCACCGGGCTGGCGAGGTTTGGGGTGCTTGCTCGGGATGAATTCTGTCGGGTAGAAGAGAAGGTTTTCGGGTTTGATATCACTATGACTTCAGTTAGTGTCTTTCGATCACAGAACATATGTTTCTAGATCTCGTACCGATGCACAACTCCGGAAGTCTCGTGGAGATACTCAATTGCCTGGGCGACCTGCACAATAACATGGCGACTGAGCTCTTCACTGAAGTAGGTCAATCTCACGATTTGATGGAACAGCTCGCCACCGGGGCAGAGTTCGAGGATGATATAGTAGTATTGACGCGACTCGGAGAAACTAATCAGCTTGACGATGTTAGGGTGGTCGAGATTGCGCATGATCTGCACTTCTTTCAGGATGTTGGCACGCTATAACAAGGTCAGTTACTCTGGTTTGTAACACAATGGGTGGCAGCTGTAGCAAACGACGCGGAGCGGAACGTTGCAGAGCAGGTGTGAGCGATAGACAGGGGATGCCCGGTGAATGGATGATGTTATCTAGTTTTTGCGCACCTCCGTAGCTTTGGGTTTCTTTCTGATCCCCGGATGCAGATGGGCGGCAGTCTAGTAGAAGGACATTGGCCAAATGATTCAAAGATGACAGAGCACAGAACACAAAACCAAGAAAGAAATCGCGAGAGAAAGCAGGAAGCGACTGGCAAAAGAGCAAAGGAGATAGCTAGCGGTCCTACCTGGTTGCTGTTCATCTCAAACTTGCGCACCACCTTGATGGCGACTTCCCCGAACTCGCCGGTGGTGTCCTTGGCGCGATAGACGTTGCTAAAGGCGCCATCCCCCATCTTCTCCATCAAGATCCAGCGCTCGAGACCCGGGTATTTAGGCATCTTGTTCCGACTACTTTTCTCTTCGGCGATGATCTGCTCGATCTCGAGTTCGCGAGCGCGCCTAGACTGTGACGAGTCGGAGTTCCGCTGAGAAGGCTGAGCGTTTCCGTTGCCTAGTTTGCTGTCAATGGCGTCGAGGTTGCCGGCAGCGGCGGGATAGGAGCCCTGTGGTTGACGTTGTTGTTCGGCATGGATGGGCGAAACATTGGTGGTGGGTTCGGCATGCGGCGTCACCAGGCGGGCTTGCTTGCCATGACGTATGAAATTTTTGAGATTCTGTATGGTACTCATAGTGCTGAGTAAGGGGGGGGGCTTGGAAAATAAAATGAGATCAAAATGGGAACGGAGAGGGAAGAGAGGGAGGAGAAGGAAAGGTTGGAGGTAAGGTGAGGTAGCAGCAGAGCAGCAGTAGCCGGAAACAAAAGGTGATGATGAAATAGGATTTGAAAAGAGACTGTCAACCAGGAATAGTGCGGCTGTCGTCCGGAAACTCTTTTCTGTCTAGGGTTTCCCTGTCTTGAATGGTTTATCCTCTAATTATTACTTGTTGTGTTTGTGCTCAACAAGGTCTGAGTGTTGAATGTTAGTTGTGTGATTGAGAGAGGGTGAAGAGGGAGGGAGAGATTAGAAAGTGGTGGGAGTGATAATGATGACGATAGGGAAATGGGCCAGAGTCAAGAAGACATGAGATGGACACAGAGAATAGCAAGAGGGGATGACAGGTCCAAGGCAGTTGGGAATGAAATTGGAAAAAGGAAAAGAAAAACAGAGATCGAGGGGGAAAAATGCAGGTGGGGAGGGGGAGATTTGCCAGGTGATTAAATGCGCCGTGCAGAAGAAGAAAAAGGTGTGCGCGGATGACGGTGGTGGTGGTGGTAATGGTGGTGGTGGTGGTGATGATGATGGGGGGAGGGAGGGGCTAATGATTATCGTAGGGGAAAGACAAAAGAGGTATGAGATAATTTTAATTTAAGGCTGGGCTGATGGAAGGCAACACAGAAGGCGAGAGAAGAGGGCCGTCCAAAGCAGTTTCAGTACCTGAAAGAGGAATTCTAAACGTCTTGCAGCCTGAGAGAGGAGAACGACGAAGGGAGATAGTGGGGAATGGGCCGATACAGTTTCAATAATGTCTTTTAGATTGTTGTTGTGGGAGGGAGAGAGTCAGAATACGGAGGAGCAGGAAGAGGAAGCAGAAGAAGAAGAAGACTGGAGGACGAGGGAAAATGAAACAATGCGATGGAAATGAGGATATGAGGATATAAAGTCTAATTCGATCCAGTGCTCCGTAAGCACAACGCCATGGCTTGTTCTTGGTGAGGCAAAAGATGTTAGCAGCTGATGAGCTGAAGCAGAAAAAAAAAGAAGAGCAAACCAATACGTACATCATCAACGAGCAGCAGCAGCAGCAGCAGCAGCAGTAGCAGCAACAGCATAAACTGACAGTGACAGTAACAGAGAGATAGGAGGGAAACAGCGGACAGCGTCATCATCAGCTACCATCAATACCCTCAATACAATGCCCATACCTGGGTGATACACCCCCATCCATACCCAATGCCCCAATGGGACCCAACTTCTTCGATCAAAATTACCGCCTGACCGAAAACCACAAACAAGATGACGTCGAGGGCTCCCGCAGCATGGTGGCTGAGTCAGCCGCCCAGGGCATGCATCGCATCGTAACTAAGGCTGGCTCTGTCTGTCGCTTCTTCTTTCCTCGGATCTTTCGTCGTCCTCCTCCTCTCCTCCTCATTCATTCATTCTCCCCTCCTCCACTAACGGGCAAGTGACGGAACACGGCGTCATCTCTCGTCATGTTCCCTTCCCGATCGTCGCGACTGTTCGGTTCTTTCTATTGTTTGGTCCCAACAGAAAATAAGATGTCATAGCTTCGCATCTCCGCAATCCTAGGTTGAACTACAGGTACTCTTCATATTACCCGGGAACGAAGAGCCCCAGTCGTTGTCTAGATCTTGATCTGATCCACCATTCACGCACAAGAAAGATCCCTGAAAAAGAGATGGCAGATGGATGTCATGGTGATAACGCATGGCGGCTGGAGACAGTACGAGTAACTAGACTCATCCGAGTACTTAAGAGATCGAATTTTGCTGGCTGCCCTTTCCCCCTTGTCTTTCCCCATGTGGTCTTCTCTCTATCAAGATCATGGGTTAAATCCCGGCCATCGATATCAGCGACCGTTTAAGCTTCCCTTCGGTTGAAGCGAGGTTGGTGAGGATTGACCATGGGTTGCGCAGCGCCACTCCCGAGCGACGGCCATGAGAGGATGTCATCGATGATGCAATGCCAGACACAGCGCCTGGTCTGTGGGAAAAGTAGGTATACTTGGTAGTAAACAATAATAAATACCAATCGTGGGGAGGGAGATATTCTGACAGCCAACTGTTAATTAGTTATAGTTGGTAACCTATTAATAATATTCATAGTAAGTAGTCGAATGAATTGGTAGTGCAGGAAATTCCCGTGATGCTGCAGGCTTGGTTGGTGGACGAAATCCCCCCAACTTCAAGGTTCTCCTCATTCTTCCATTTCTTCCTTTTCTTCCTCTTTCTCTTTCAAGATCCTCCCTCTTCCCCAACTTCGGTGTGCCTGGCCTTTCTAATTACCTTCGATTTACGGTCCCCTGTCACCCCCCCCCCCCCATTCAACCAGCCATACACATGTATCCCTAAAGTTCAGTCATGTAGATCATCCTGGCCCGACGTCGATTGTCCGCAGCCAGTCTCATTGCTTTCTGGAGGGGGTGACTGTCACTATCCGCCTGCCCGCGCGTCGGATCCGCAACGTGGAATGTCCCTGCAACTCGCGCACTTGGCCTCGTTCTCACTCGCTTTCCTCGGGTCTTTTCGTGCCAACAAGATCGCCTTTTGCGGGTCGTGCCTTGCCTGCTGCTGCTGTCCGTTCTTATCTACATACTCTATTTGTAGAGCCAGCTGGGACTAAATTTACCTGGCTGTGGGTGTGGGCTGGCCTAGAGCGGGTGTTGGACTTTGTAAGACACGCATTGGAAGACAGTCACACACACACACTACACACTACACTATACATTCACCATACATTCACCACACACTCAACCCTTACGCCGCACCAAATCTCCCTTGCTGGTTAGCATTCATCAGGGTGGGAGAGGAGAACAAAGGGACCGGAGTTCTTCGCCGTGGGATCTCTTCGGCACACTCTTCCTTTGTTCTCTTTCGCTGTCCATTTACAAGATTGTAGTCCTCCTCCACCAGACCCAACCGAGACACAGCATCCCCTCCCCCCTCACCATTGCTACGATATGCGACCGGCACCAAGTTGACTTGAAACCCATTTTTCCTTTAAAACAAAAAATAATAGAAAACAAAAAAGAAAAAAAAGAAACCACCAGAACTAAAACACCATTCAAACCCGACCACTGCCCGCTTGTCACTTGGACCAATCTGCCGGACCGTTGGGCCTCCTCACAATGCCCAGCCTGGCGAATGCTGGCACCTCTGTCGCCTCACCAGAACACTTGGATCCGCCCCAGTTGAGGGCCCACAAGTCTCTACGTCGCCGGCCAAATGTTCCCTTGAACTCTCCATCCGCCGCCCAAACAATAAAACCAGTGGGCCACAATGGCCTCCCGTCAGGGACAGCCTCTCTGCCACCAGCTCCCGTTCGTCCCTTGACGCCTCCCGCGGTCGCCTCAACCGAAGACTCCAACACCCACGGGGCGCATATCGCAACAACACCTTCTTTACTCTCGGTGAGCGATGCGATAACCCCGAGGCCATCGCATCCTCCCACGCCCGAAACCACCCCTCCTCAAGTCGCAGCCTCGGCTAAGCGTCCGGCCCTCAAGCAACTGGCCCAGTCCTTCTCCTCGTCTCGGGCGGATTCCTTTCGGACTGCGCTGGAAATCATCTCAGATGCTGGAACTGAAACCCCGTCTCGGTCAGCCCGGTCCTGCTCGTTTGTAACCAGACAGAGCGATCCGTCCGACCACAGCGACACGCGAAGCGGAGAGACAACACCGATACCAACTCATACTTCTAACCGGATGCGTTCCGCGACACCAGAGATGTTGATGGCAGAGAGTCGGCAAGATGCGACACAAAATACACCGGCACCTGCTCCCCGTCAAAAGGGATCTGCATCTAGCCGTATCGACCGTGACTCAGACACGGCGGAACACCCAATTTACATGGTCGGGTCGGATGCAGACAGCACGGACGTGCTTCCCGTCCGCTCGAAAAGCGTACGAAGGCAGGGGGCTGACTCGCACGAGCCTGTAGGTGGATTGTCAATCGAGCAGTTCCGAGAGCAGATCGGCTGGCCCCAGACCGAGCCTACTACAGCCGAACCAGACGCCTCGCGAAGGTTCTCTAATGTGTCCACGACGTCCACCGTTGAGGTTATGATTATCGACTCGCCACGATCAACTCAACGATCACTTCGTCACACTGAGAAGAGGAGCTCTCTCCGCTCAGTCAGCTCTCCCTTGACGAAATCGGAACATACCTCACTGGTCTCTAACCCGGACTCGCAGCATCGGCTGGTTCATAAGAGTGCGCGCATCACAGAACAAGACCGTCGAAGTGTTGCTTCGGAGATGTCGATTTCGGGGATTTCGACAATGAGCTTTCTCCCGCCGAATGTGGAAATAGTACCGGTGGTGGTGATACCCGAGCGGCGGTCGTCCCTGAAGTCCTCGACTTCGACCAGCCGGAATACCTCCCAAAGTCGCTCCCGACATTCGAGTCGACGCGCTCCGGTCGCCTCGGGCAGCCGCCCAGGCTCGCTGGAACCTCCGCGCCGCAAGGAGCGGACGCTGTCCGATGCGAGCACCAACGCGGACAAGCGGGCGCGATCTCGAGGCCGTAGCGATGGTAGGCCGGTCATCCCCCAGCGTAATTCGTCGTTGTCTGCACCAACCAGCCGCAACAATTCGCGGACCACGTCTCTCACCTCCGAGAGCCTACGGAATCACACGATGGCAATGGAGCAAGAGACGCGAAAGAAGCCAGCGCCACTTCCTCTGTCCCAACCTGAGGGGTCGTCCCACGGCCGGGCTGCGCACGATGTTCCAGAAGCCGCGAAAACGCAGTCCATCATCATCGGTGTCGAAGATATGTCGCATCTCCGGCCGCCGTCCATGCCCTATACCCAAGTCTCCATCCCGTCCTCATCTCCCGGCGTGATCGAAATCAGTGAAGCGAGGACGATCGCCATCTTTCCGCACAACAACGAGTCATTATTGCTGGTAGAGCCACAATCACAATCTACCGCGCGTGAGCAGATTCCTGATATAGCATCCCAGGACAAGCCCCAAACGCCGGCCCCGTCGACGCAGTTCGAGGTGGAGTCACCGTTGAAGAACCCCCGCCAACCTCCCAAGCCACCGGTCTGCCAAGTGTCGCCGCCATCGCCCGTGCAAGACGCCAGTCGCCAACTGGGAGCCGCCGTGCGTGAAGCCGAAGCGAATGGACGTCCGGCCCGTCGGTTCGGGTCCATCCGACGTCCGTGGATGGTACGTCCTCGGTCTGATTCATATAATTCTGCTCTCGAGTCTTTCTCACTGACGTCCGTGAAGAACCGCAAGGCGGACAACCCCGAAATCGAGGGGCGCCTGCAGCCCTTCTGGCGACCGCGTCGCTTCTGGGACGACTCGGAGACCGACACTTCCTCCCCCAACGGGTGTCCCGTTGAAGACCGGCACCACCACGAGCCCGACACGGTGATAAAGAACTCGCTGGGGATGCCGCAGCAGCGGACGGTGCTGGAGGGGCCGCCCATCTCGCGCAACCCGGAGACCCGACGCCGGCTGGGCGGCCACCACCACGCTGCCAACCGCGGCACCCTGGTCGGCAGCAGCCAAGTGTTCACGCCGGAGGCCCTGTACTCGCAGACCTCCCTCCACCACCACCGGTTCCAGTCCCTGTCGTGGTGGCGGTTGCGGCTGCGGGCCGGCAAGGTGCGCAACCTCCGCAAACGCATGCGCCGGGTCTGGCAGCAGCACGGCGAACGTCGACGCGAAGCCAAGCGCGAGAAGCTGAAGCAGAGCATCGGGGACGCGGTGCTGGTCGATTCCAGCACGAGCCCGAGGCCATAGCTGCGCTACCATTAATGACGATCGACGAGTGATGCATTTTTGCTTAGAGGATTGGATACACAGGTTGATTTTGAAGTTACGCATGCTTATGATTTTTTTTTTGTTGTTGTGTCATGTTTACGATTGATGATATTGACGATTGACGATACCAATTTTGTTTCTGTCTATTTTTTTTTGTTCTCAATACCGCGAAGCAAGCCCACGATCGTCTCACTTTCATTCTATTTCCAAGATTCAGATCAAGATACCACAAGATTAGCAATTCCCACTCACCAGTTACCACAAATAATAACCCCGAGTGCAGCATCCATGGCGGGATTCCTATGAACCCTCCCTCTAAGAACAAGACAGCCCTAATCCACAGACCATCTCCATAGGTAATCAACCAGCCCAACTCAACACATACATACATACATACATAAAAGCCTCCGAAAAGACCAAGCATCCATCTCCCTCTCCCATTCCATTCCATTCCATCCAATCCAACCACCTCACTCCCAACTCCCCGCAAATAGCGACCCAAGAATAAACCCCCATCCCACCGACAAGACAGAATCCCCATTCCCATCCCCATCCCCATCCCAAACCCCAGTAACCCAAAAATCCCGACAGCAAAAACTCACCGCAACCGCCCCCGAACAGCCATGCCCCCAAACTCCGCCTCCCGGGCCCTCTTCCTCCGCCGCAACTCCTCGCTCTCCTCCACCCCCGGCCCGACTGGTCGTGGTCGTGGTCGTGCAGCATCAACACCCCCTCCCCGCATCCGCATCCGCTCCCAACACCCCGGATCAAGGAACGGCTGCGGCGCGAGCGCGAAGTTGAATTCCGTGTCGCTTCTGCTTCGGCTGCTTCCTGGTTTGTCTCTGGATGCGGGGTTGGGGGTGGGAGTGGGGTTTGAGGATGAGGATGAGGATGAGGATGAGGGTTCGAGGAGAAGGGATGGGGGTCGGGTGGTTGTGTTCGGGTTCGGGGAGAGATGCTTCTTCTTTGGGGGGAAGAGGGCCCGTTTTTGCGGGATGAGGAGCGAGGACGGGGCGGGGCGGGTTGTTTGGAACTTGCGGGATTGCGGGTTGGAAGGGGTTTGGGGCTGGGGCTGGGCTGGGGCTTGGGGTTGGGGCATGATGGGTTTTGCTTTTAGGTTAAGTTGGGGGTGTGTGGGGGATTGGTGAGGGAGGAGGTTGTAGAGGGGAAATGGGAGGATAAATTTGATGAATGTAGGAGAAGGGTTTAGTAAGTTACCCAGTAGGCGGGGAAGGATGGTTTAGAGGTTTTGAGGTTGTGACGTAGACACGTGATCTTATACTATAGTATACACTGCACCTAATAAGTGTTGCCACGGTATCTGAATCGGATGTAGTTCGGATTGTGAATCGAACTTGGCAAATATCGTTCGATGATACTATGTAATATATACAGCAAGCCATTCGCCGGTCAATCAAGCATCGGTCGATGCATTCATCGTTGTAAAAACAGGTATCACATGATTTAAGAAGCAGCAACAGCGACGGCAACAGCAACGGCAACAACAAAACTCCATCAATCCCTGTCCAGCTTATTCTCACGGTGGACAGCCCTGTCATCGTCATCCCGCTAATTATGGTACACATGAAAAAGAAGAAAGGTCATAAGATTTTAGAATCGACAGCCCCACACCACTACGCCATCCCTTGCGACTCCATCCCGGATATCGTGGAATAGGAATATGGCAGGTCGACCAATCCATCCAGAAGCCAGTTCAGTGGATCGAAGACTTCATAGTTCGGCTCGATGAACCCGCTAGGCAACGCCCCAACGCCACCGCTGGGCGGCACGCTGATGCCGGGCTGCGGCAGCAGAGGCGCAGGCGCGAGACTGGGGTCTGCACCGCCCACCCCGGGCGTCGCGGTCGAGGTGCGCGTCGGTCCGGTGGACGATGCCGACGATTCGGCGTTGGAATCTGGGTTGGTCGGGTTTTTGAGGCACGCTGCAAGACGGGTCAGCTTTGAGTCACTCGACGTCGAGTTGGTGACACCTACCTTCGATATTACGCCCCTTGGTCCGCGCATCCTCTCGCCACCGCCATACAGAGTCGAACAGAAGAGACATGCTCATCCGGCATCGTACCTTCAGCATCAGGGAGTCGTCAATCTCACTACCGTCGGGCCCGAACTTGGGCGTCGGCGCATTTCCCAGTCGCCACATCTGCGCCAGAACTTCCGCCAGCCGCTCGGGGAGATCGTTGCTAGACACCGATACCCCCCGAATGGCCCAAATGGTCCGGTTGAAGAGGTTCTTGGCATAGTCCATGTCAATGTGGGCTGCAAAGAAGCTCTTGCAGAGTTTCAACAGAGTGCAACCTCCCGCGACCATCATTTGATACACGTAGTACGGGGTGTAGGAGAGCACCGGCCCAACTTCGGTCTCTAACGTCATTGCTGCCTCGAGGAAAGTAGTTGCGGCGACGTAAAGTGAGAGAAGGCGTTCTCGGTAATTCTTGGCCGTAGTATCGTCGAAGAAAGCCGACAGGTGGAGATGGAGATTCGATGCGCGTAGGAAGAGATCAGTGATAGCTACATAGGTTAGAGAATCTTCCATGCGACCGGATTTAGGGCCTTACGGTCTCGTTGCGGCTTAAGTTGGCTTTCCAACTCGTCAAAGTCTCGAGAGAGAAACGAGATTAACGCCGATCTCTCCTTATCACTGCAAAGCCCGACAGGGTCCCGGCGATTTTTGTAAAGTGACCTGGTAATCTTGTCGCAAAACTTTTCAATCTCCAGTCGAGGTTTCATGTCCTCCGGCAACTTGAAGTTGGGATCCAGGGACTCGTTCGAAGACAGTGTCCAATCATATAGGGTTGATGGCGGCTGACCGTAGCCAGTAGCGACTCTGCGCGAAATTGATTAGCTTGTCGGTCCATTCGATCCTCGGTTAATGCTTTTTTCAGCGCATACCTCTGCGCAACTATATTGCAAACAGCCCAGGTTCGGACCTTATCTCGAAGCTCCTCTTCGATGAGTTCCACACGAAATTTGCTGAAATCCTGCGTATGTGACGGCCGATGCAGACCAAGCTGCATGGCAACCTGCACCATCATTCCGCACAGCATGAATGTAGGGTCCGTGGAGGTGCTGCTCGTAGGAAATGGCCACGTGCATAGCAAGCACAGTGCCTTGACTACATGGTAGCTCTGTGGGATGTCCGCCAGCGTACTCCAGACCAGCCGTGTCACCGGGCCAGCCAGAGAATTGAGGAGGTGGGTGTCGGATTGGTACCGTCGGGCGCCAACACTGATGATTGTCCAGAAAAGTAGAGGCGATGCCGAATAGTATTCATCTGGCGACTGCTCTCGACTAAGGAACGGAAGAAACGGGTGATAGAATGTGAAAAAACTAGGCTCGTTAGACGTGCGGCAACAAGAGCCGACGGCGTACACTTACAGATTGAAGAGCTCTGTCACTCTCTCCGGAACCACAGCCACATCCTCGATCCTCTTGAAATGATGAGTGCCATTTCGCATGTAGCCACTGCCATCGAAGCCTGATCGCAGGTCCAGTAGGGATGCGACAGCTTCGTGCGACCCCATGTACTGGTCAGTAGACATGGCTGACGGCGTGTGGTAGACACCAGCTGAGCCAACCTGGCTGGGAGTCTCTTGTTTCGGAGTTTGCACCGTCGGCAAAGAAGTCGGGGTCTGCTGTGGCGTGCTCCCATTTGCCTGCACAGTCGCGATCTGCTTCCGAAGTTCGATGATCTCACGCTCCATCTCGGCGTTGCGGCTGCGCTTCCCAACACGTTTGAAATTGGATTCGATCTTGCAATCCAGTTTCAGGCGACGGCATCGGGAGCAGTCGCTCCACGGATCTTGAATTACATCGCATCGGAGCTACACGAAGAACAGTTCATGTCAGCGGAAGCCCCGTGGGATGAGATCGGGCACGCGGCATACCTTCTGCTGGCGACACTCATTGCAGGCCCGCTTGACGGGCTGTCGCTTCTTCTCATCACGGCTATCGAGGTCTTCCACCTCGTCGATACTGGCAGCGGGCGAGCTGTCCAAGCCTGCGGCAGCAACAGTACGTTTCCTGACAGGTCCCCCGCCATCGGACCCGATAGCAGGTGAGACAGATGGATGGTCGGCACCTCCCATTACGGGGCTGGAGGCAGCCGAAGCATTCTTCCTTGCGCTTGGGTCCAGATTGTTGCCCTGCACACCCTGGCCTCCGATTTCGCTGGGCGATCCTTCGAGGGAATCCAGACTTGTTGCGTGCAAAACTGATCAACGCTGGGACAGTATAAGAGGGAATGGCGGAGAAAAAAAAGGCTAAAAAAATCACAGGTCTAAAATCACAGGTGCACTGGACAACAATAAAGACCACGTGCCAATATAGCAAGGAGGGAGAACGAATTAGCGATGAGTGAAAAAAACTTTTACCCACCGGCTTGCACCGTGTTTTGCAGACCCTGAAATTAAGTGGTGGAGGAATCACACTCGGCGGCGGGGGTCCTGCGAGGAGAAGCTGTCCGATCTCGCTCTCACGTGCAGTGGACGGATTAGCGGATAGCACGTGACACTGACATTGGACCAGTGATTAGTCACGAATAAGTCAGCCCAGACCCCATCAACCGTCCATAGCCCCACCACCCAGTCAGTCCGTGCTTGACTGCTTGTCAACATCATGAATTGACTACTACCTACTCAACTACTACACTACACTACACCATCTCAACTGTACTTCCTATAAAGTCTGCATCATACAATTGCATTCACAATGGACAATCTACAGTCTCTGGTACCAGTGCCTGAGAGCAACGGTGTAGAGATGTCTATTCCCTCGTCACAGGTCATACCACAGACCACAGGCTGCCCCACGCACAGACTCCCACCACCATGCTAATTCCGGCGGTCGCCCGACAATTGTCCATTGGCTCTTCTTATTAGCGGACCATATGAGGTTGATCCCATAAGATGAACCCGTGTCTTCTCAATGATACGCAGTGATATGCACTGCCACCTGCGTTCTATCTGGTTTCTCTCTAAATCGAGAGTCATTCACAGTCTGTCGTATTCTGCTTCCAGAAATGAAGCTTCCATCACATCCGACTGCACTTCGTATCCTGAGGCTTACGCTTCGCCTCGATGTTCCACTTACCTAGAACCACTGTTCACAAGGCGAACCTAGGGTATCCTAGCGCCAATTAAGCCTTGTACTGCGGCACTGCCCTCTGTCAGCGCCGAGGTTTGTCTAGAGACGGGGGTGACCCTTCTGATCTAACGAGGTGCCCGACGCCGCCTCTGCCACTATCTTAGAACTTACCCAGTCACACCAGACAATCTGGGGTCTACTCACTCACAGTTCGGTCTCTCCCGTGCCTGTCAGACTACGGACAGAGAGCATAATTCTTTCCTTGTTGGAGAATCTGTGGTTGCCCCGCGTCATTGCCCCGGTGGCATTGCTAGCCGATCATTCTGCCTCCATTCCAATTATGTCAGACGTCCATCGAGCAACAGTGACCTACAAATGACAGTATAAAGGCAGATTGTCCCGCTGCGGCATTAGTCTCGAATTCTGTCATTCACACTTCTACAGTCCATGCGTGGCATGCAGCCAAGTCCAATATAATTTATGTCTGCCAAGATGGCTAAAGAAACCGAGATGGGGGCAGATCAACCACCTGCATACAATCAGCTCGATCAGTCGCAGTTGGCATTACCCCCCTTAGACCTTTCTCGGGACGCTGGCCCATCCCAATACACGACAGTCACCTCTGATCAGTGTGCCGCTCACCTCAAGCTGCTCGCAGCACTGGCCGATTTGCGCGACAGCGTAGCCAGCACTCGTGGAATCTTCGGCATCCAGGATCCTGACCCGGAACTATTCCAGCCAGACTCCAAGGAGGCCAATGAAGCGTGGGCTCGAGTAAAGGAGAAGCGGTGGGCGGTTTATACCACCCGAGCAGTGGACCGATATGCAGCCTGGTGGACGTTGTGTGCTCCTGCTTCTCGCGCGCAGCCCAAACTCAGTACCCTCAAGTCTACCAGCTACGAGAAGATCACGACCTCTGACGAGCCAATGAAATGGTCTCAAGACGATATGCCTCCTCTCGGTAAGTTGAGTCACGGTGCATGCTTGGTACCGGCCACTAACCATTCTAGACGTGCTGATGGTATGGCATGCGCATATGCTGAACCCCCGTGCTTTTCTCGAGGACTGCATACGGCACGGAA